GGGTTTTATAAGCCACCCTGTGCTCCTGTTGCTTTACTCCCTAATCCAAAATTCTAATCCCCTGTGACATCCCTCTTAGTTGCTCTGGACAAGATTCTGAGTCACAAGTAGAGGATTATGACACCAGGCAAGGACTAAAAGCAGCAGGAGCAGATGAACTCTCAGAAACAAGGATCTGGTTACCATGCAAATGCCCTGTAGAATTAAGGAGTGAGGCAAGACATAATACCTCAGATCTGTGCCCTACCGTCACAGCTGACTTTAAAGATAGCAGATCAGTTTTTCAGGCTTTTCTATGGAGCAATGTCAGGTTTTTTTAAATTCTTCCTCCTCAGACGGTGTTCAAAGAGAATCTTTCCATCCCCTCCCCTGCTTTTAAGGCACCATAGCATAGTTGCTTCCAGTAAAATGCAGTTTATAGACCATAACCACTATTAATACATCCAGTTCTTTTCAGGTCCTTTGTTCTCCATCCTCTAATTAGTGCTTCTTATAGCACCAAGAGGAGGGTGATCTAGGTCTCAAGCCACAAATACTACTCCTAACTGAGCTCCCCCTCCTGCCCCCACCCCTATGCCCAGAGCAGAGCTCTTGTCTCTTATTTCAGAAGCGCCAGTCAGAAGTTGCCATCACCAAGTGGTTTCAATTGCCAATCTCATTTACCTGAAAAAAGGGTGAGACTTCTTGGAACAATATAGAAATCAAAGATTTAAAAAAAAGCAGTAAAAGTTAATTGCAAGTAAAGTGCTCTAGTTACATGTTATGAAAAGCTGTGCTGGATAAGCACAAGGTTGGTGTTATGGAAATAGTACTGAGAGTTAGGACTTCTTAACTTGGTCTGTAGGTGGCTGTAGGTGCACTTGTGTCCCATGTGCAGGGTTAAAGGTTAGGCTAGGAGATGAGTTTAGGAACTTTTTGTTTGTTTGTTTGGGAGGCTTTTTAGTATCCTATGGTACAGAGCAACAATTCTCAACCAGGGTGCCATGAGAACCTTTTAAGGGTATCTCAGAGTACTCTACAATAATAGCACTGTTAGGTCTGCAAACACCTACACATGATTCACAAGATAAATCCAGAGATTACACAGAGGACTCCAGTGTTAAACACATGCTAGCCTGTTGTGGTGTCTGGGTTCTTTGCAACAGAATAATTGCTGTATTATTTTTCTGTACTAAAAAAAATGACTGAAAACTAAGCTGACATTTTTCAAGGGGTGTCATGAGCCTAACATTGTTGAGGACTATTGCTATAGAAGAGGTAGACTCCTCATCTGCCACTTCTTGCTTGTTCCTCTGTTGCGGGTCTAGTACAGTTTGTCAAATTCACCATCCCCTCCACCGTCTGCATGAGGCTCAGTCCAAACTAGATATCAGACCTCTTAAGCAGCCAACATATGCCTGTGTATCCATTATAAGTAGGTCACTGTGAGTGTGTGTGTGAATAAAAGAGAAGCCTGTAGAACCATATTCTATTTTCCATCCACAGTCCTGGAAATCTGGAGTTCATTTTAGTTAACTCAGAGTTGAATTCAGTATTTGCCAGGTACATGTGAAAGCAGAATTTATTTCTTAAATGTATGAGAGAAAGTGCGAGCGGTTGAGAAATGCCCTTTTTCCAAGTCTGTAATGCCCTAATTCCTTGCTGCATTTGCCACCATTCCACAGCTGAATTGCTTCTCAGGCACTTGGTGAGAGATGGTGGTGCCAACATCATAATGGCCCTTTTGTTTTCCTGAGGCTTTTTGCAGGGCAGTTCAGATTGCAACAGAAACTTGACGTTTTGCTAATATCTGGTTAAACTCTCCAGCTGCTGCTGTTCAGATCCATCTGTCAGAATTGCAGGCAGCTGCTGCTGTTTCTCCAATGAGCACAACTCAAATGGATTGTCTGCTAGAAGGGCAGCCTGAAGAACTTCAGACATGTTCTGTGCATCCACAGTCAAAAAACCCAATTTCTAAATATGGGCGATGAGCCTACTTCATTCATGGTTGGCACCGCTGCTTTGGAAGAAGCAAGATGGGGTCTCTCTGTGACAGGCCTGAACTAAACTGAGGAGGAGGACCAGAGCAAGAGAAGGATTCCTGAAGTAGGGGATATATAGGTAAAGGGTAGGGATGGAGACACCTGGAAGTCCAGTCTGCCCAGTCTGTTTTCATGCTGAGGTCCAATAGTGACTGGAGCAGGGTTGGAGATTCAGGACTCTGAGGTGCTCTGCCTGGTTAGTAGGCCTGTGTGAAGCAGCTAGTATTCGCTTTGGATTCTGATTTGGCCAATTTGGGGGACAGTGATTCAATTCGATGATTCGAATCACTATCCTGATTTGATTCAGCTGAATCAGATTCGGAGATTTGGCTTCTGCCGAATCTCCGAATCAGCCAGGCCAGCCCCATCCCCAACCTGCTCTCCCAGCCCAGCAATGGCTGCCCCACCCACCCCAGCTCCCACACTTGTTAAAAAGCCCTGACTCAGCAGGTGCTGCTAAGTAGGGGGGCAATCCCTGCTGCCCCCCTCTATATGGGGGTCTGCATGGGCCCCCCGCTGTCCCCTCACTCCCTCAACTCCCCCACGAGTGCTGCGCCCGGGCCAGCTCCAGCCCTTTAAGGAAAAAGAAAAGCTGAGTAAAGCCCTACACTCACTGCTCCTGCTGGTGGGGGTGGTGATCCCTGCTGCCCCCCACTGCCCTGTGCCATGTGGGGGGGGCTCTGCACGAGCTCCCGAAGCCGCTGCAGGAGCAGAGAGTCCCAGGGCTTTTCTTGGTTTTTTCTTGTCCTTAAAGGGCCAGAGCTGGCCTGGGCGGGGCACCTGTGGGGGGGCTGGGGGGGTCAGGGGGGGCTCATGCAGAGT